AATGCTTACAAAGTAAAAATAAACATTTTACCACGTTTGAAAATTGTTATTATTTCAAAAGTATTTAGCGCTTAAAATTGCGGATGATTGCAGCCACACTTCTCAGGGTAGTTAGTAGACGCGATAGACGAAAAAACATCAAAGTATGTAAAAGGTATAAATTGAAACAATTTTTTAATTCTAAATCAAAGTTGAAAACTTGTACTTCTGTGATAACTTGTTGTAACTTTTTAACTTTTAATGCATAAAAATTGTAGCACCAACCTTTTTAGTAAACTTTTTAACAGTTTATATTATAACCTTTCTAATCTTGCATATACTGTCAATTAGTTATTGATTTATATATATATAAAAAAAAATTACCGAAACCCAAAATCTAAATTTAACAAAAATACATTAAAAACCAAACTTCAAGAAACTAATACCACTGATCCTACCATATTTAGAAGTTCATATAATAAAAAGTTATTTGTGAGAGTAACAAAACCCACTGTCAGACATTGTTTGAATTATGTCACTTTTTTAATATTTGACTATACAATTTCCGCACCCGTGTAACGTTAAAAGGCACCATTTTCTTTCCAATTACTAGTCAAACAGTATGTTAAGTGCGTACCAGGTTGACACTTATTCTGAAATATGTTATTGAACTAACTTTTTGGTATTTCTTTGTATATATAACTTGCACTCGAAATTTTTTTTTATTATTTCAAATAAACGTCTGTCAGACCTTTATAGATGTAAGAGATTAATCTAAAAATATTTAACCAAATATAATTTACCAAAATAATAAAGATTTCTAAAGTTCAATTTAAAATACTATTTAACACTCTTTTAAGGAAAGTCTTATTCTAAAATATTATTTGCAGAAAAAGATTGAGTTATAATGAGTTGACCCAAAATAAATTATGCCCCCTACTCCTCTTTGTTTCTTTTAAGTCTGACCAATTTGAGTGTGTTTTACAAAAATGTTTCAGTAATTTTTTTAAATGACTTTTGTTAAATAGTCACTAAAGCTAAAAAAAACTATTTAAAAAAATGTTTCAGATCATTTTAACATTTTAATACAACTCTTTAATTAACTGATTATTTTTACTGATTAGAAAAATGACCCTGATTAGATTTACTAAAAGACTAACCCTGATTAGATTTACCCACTACGTGTAAATCATTTAATTTGAAATATATATTAATTTTTGAACTTGTTTTTAAGTTAAAGCTCTTTAAAATCATTAAAAACTTAAACTTCACAAAAAAAAAAAAAAACTATAACTCTCTATTTTGGAAAAAACTAAGATGCCAGATTTCAATTTTTTTTTTAAAAAGTATCCATCGCATACTTATTATCTTTAAATAGTTGAAGTGTAAAAATAACTTGTTCAAAAGTTATCATCTGCTCAAATAAAAAAAAAAATCATTTTGTTTGTAGAGTGTAATTTAATGCAAAATAACCCTCTACTTATATTGTGTTTTCTCAAGAGCCATATAAGATATTCATCTGAAACATTTTTATATATGCTGTATATATATATATATATATATATATATATATATATATATATATATATATATATATATATATATATATATATATATATATATGTACAAAATCAAATTGGATTTACTACTTGATTTTTATCTTTAATGGTAAGTTCTCTTTAGTTTTGTTACAGAAAAACTAAAGAGAACTTACCATTAAAGATAAAAAGCTTTTTATCTTTAATGGTAAGTTTTCTTTAGTTTTTCTAAAATCTAAATTCGTTTTTGTCAATCATTAACTATAGTACATTTATTCTCTAGCTGTGTCAAATCTATCACACGGTTTATCAATGTGTTGCTATAATAATTCAGTTCCTAATAAATTAGACGCTGTTGGAAGGTTAGTATTAAAATTTCTTTTTAATATATCAAAGTAAATCAAAAACTACCTTCGTCTTTTCTTTAAAGTTGATGATATATCTACCATCCTCATTCAAAACAAATTAAATCTGTTTATCAGATATCTGTTTATCAGATATCTCTCAGACTCAGATATCTGATGTTACTAAAGATAACCTTTTTATCAACGACCTAATCAAAATGTACAGTCAACTTGAGCTAAACTTTGCCCAACGTTTGATAGAAGGAAAGAAAATAACGGTTAAACGTCGCTACGATGACGTAGGAGACAAAATAGCGGCAATTTTGAACCATTTCTTTGAATTCTGGAATTATCAGAGAACAAAGACTATTACTTACAATTTTGATAAAGGAAATTTTGAAGAAATTAAATTTGACTTTCGAAAGAAAGTATAAACTATTAGTTTTATACACTTGTTTTATACTGTGTGTTTTACCTGTAACTATGGTGATAAAAAGAATAAATTAACAAATAAATAAAACTAACTTTTTCAAAAGTTATTTGCTGTAAAAAACAAGAAAAATTTTTTGTTTTGTTTGCTGAGTGTTATTCGATGCATAATGCATTCGATGCATAGCCCACTACTTAAATAGCCTTTTTTCAAGAAACATCTTAGATATTGATCAGAAATTTTAAAAACATGCTTTGCTTATATATATTTACAAGATCAAAAAGTTTCAGTAAATGATTCATGATGAACCTTATAAATATTTGTTTCATTTGGCATAAAATGACACAGCAAAGACATTTTTTGAAATTAAACTTTTATGATATTTGAATTTTATTTAAAAAACAATTCATAAGAATTTATAACAAACGTGAAAAAAACTGTTTCCTACTTATAGATATCTCTGTGTAAAAAGATAAACTTAACTGTTTTGACTTTGTCTAATATTTCTTCTTTTTACCATTCTCTTATAATTTTTTAGGCGCCCTAGTGAAAAAGAGGATTGTTGCTTGTAATGTTTTAGTATTATTAATTTTTTTTTTTTTTTAATTAAATTTAATATTTTTTTTAATTAAATTTCTTTATTATTTCTATTAAATTTATTTGCTTGTTTTTGGAATTAAGTTATTAAAGACAAATTTTCAAAAACAGAAAAAAAAATCGATGGAAAAAATCACAAGTAAAATCAAACTTTTTATTCACAAGTAAAAATTTTTTTAAATTATTTTGTTCCATTAAATTACTCCACGGAATGAAATGTATGAATTTCCAATATTTTCTTTCAATCACGTTTTCCGAATAAGTATATTGTTTCGCAATATATATTTGAGTTTTACTTTACATGATATAAATTACCAAAAGTAACTGGACACAAGTAAATTTTGCATTTAAATATATAAAACAAAGTACTTTGAAAATATTTACCTCACAAATATTAGCAATGTTCAAGATAAAAAAGAGAAGCTTGGCATGAATAAAACAATCTTTTAAATTTTCAAGACTTGCTTTTTAATATAAAGTTTAGTTATTTTTTAAGTAAATTTATGGAATACGTCAACTGCGTTTTAGTTTTGTTTTTTTTTATTAAGGAAGTGTAGGTAGAATTTGAAAAAACACAAAAAAGATTTTGAAAACCTTTTCTAGTCTAAGTATCATAAGCTTAAACCACACGTTTTTGAATTTAGGGCTTAGTTTAATTACATGTATCTCAAAACAGAAAAGGTTCCCACAAGATATTTTATTGTTTTTGGAATGGGTGTCGAGTTGTTATTATAATGGTTTAAAAAAGTTAAGGGTGTATTGCTTGCAAAAATACTTAAGGGTCATTAAACAGTCAAAAAATGATTTAACTAGCCTTCAAAATTTAACCATTATGAGAAATGGCAAAAGTCCAAATATTGAATGTATAGATTTTTTTATTGCTATACAATAAAATCCCTTTAATTAAAAAAATTATTGCACTGTTTAAATAACTCTACCATTAAAACCTATACTTTTTGTAAAATTAAACAAAAACATACAGTGGAACAACTTACGCATGCTCATGTGTATGTCAACTACACAACTATAAACTTATTTATATTGATGCATATGTCAAATGAGAGAGCTTGCAAAATATTGCAGTAATTAGTTCAATTTAGTATAGTTTAGTTTAGATTAGTTTGCCGTTGTTTTCAGCGTACAAAAATGTAAATAAAGTCTAATAATGGTTGTAGCAAGAAGAAAGCATACATTAGCCTTATAACCACTTCTTATAAAATAGCTTAAAAATTCTTTTTAGAGCCTATGAACAAAAATCCCACAAAAAGAGCACCCCAGCTGCCCCAAATGTGGTGAAAGTTAATAAAATAATTTTTTTTACTTTTTTATGCTAAATTTAAAATCATAACTAGGTATTAAATTTCATAATATAATCTTCTAGTGTTTGAAAGTTACAATGATGTAATGTTTCCGTCCTCTCTAAAATAAGGGGGTTTTAAGTTTACATTATCATAAATTTCAAACACTAAATGGTTATTAGATATAATTTAAACCTGTCTATGAATTTGAATTTGGTATAAGATAATAAAATATACTTTAATTATTCCTTGTCTTCATATTTAGGGTATGGAGGGGATGATATATTTTTTTTTTTTTTTTTACTTTTTGTCATTTCAGTGTTTACATTACAAAAAATATTTTTTAAATTTGAATCAGAAAAGAAAATATTTGTGTCGTCAGCAAAAATAATATAATTAAGTATTTTTGGTGACAAATAAATATCTTTAATATAAATTAAAAACAGTAAAGGTCCAAGTATTAATCCTCGTGGAACTGCAAAACTTGTTGGCTCAAATGGGGAGAATGTTAAATCAAATGGTACTACTTGTTTACGATTTTCTAAATAACATTACAGCCACTTTAAGTTAGAGTGAGCTACTCCGTAATTACATAGTTTGTTGATAAGAATCTTGTGGTTGACAGTATCAAAGGCTTTGGATAGATCTAAAAATATTCCGAGTGTTTAACTATTGTTTTCAAAACCATTTACAACTTGAATTGAAAAATCAATTACTGCATGCTACGTGAAATGGTTTTTGCGAAAACCAAACTGTTAATGATGAAGAATGTTATTAGTTTCAAGATAATTGTACAACCTGTTGTGCATTATACGCTCTAGCATTTTAGAAAAACAGTAAAGTATGGAAATTGGTCTATAGTTAGATTTTATCGAATCATCGCCACTTTTGTATATTGTAATTATATTTGCTAGTTTTAATTGGTCAGGAAAAATGCCGTTTCTTAGGGAAAGATTTAAAATTATAAAAAGAGGTTTCTCAATAATACCAGAGACCGCTTTTACAACATCGGGTTTAATTTCATCTAGACTCGCTTTCTTATTTGTTTTCAACATACCAATTGCTAGCCGAAGTTCATCAACCAGAAGCTCCGACTTATCCATTATGGAATCTGATTTTTTCAAAAATGATTCAAATGATTTACTCCCCTTAGGAATTGCACTGGCTAGTTTTTTCCCTATATTTATAAAAAAGTCATTAAATGTTCCTGCAATTTCTTTATTTACAAAAGCATCTCCTATATAACCATCTCTTTGCAATTTTTTGGGAAATTATCAATTTTTTAATCGTAGGAAATGATAATTTAATTTTTAAATTATCATTTCCTACGCTTGTTATTTTTTTAATTACATTCCATGTTTTTCTTGCATTTCCAAATGTTTTTTAAGGAATTTATAAGCAATAAGAAATAGTAAGTTTTCTTTGATTGGTTTTTTAACTTTTCGAAAGTATTTTTGTGTTTTTTGTATTTTATATCATTTTTGTAGTTTTTTTTTTTAAATTTTTGGTAAAAATTTTGTTTCTTTTTTGATGACTTAATGAGTCCTTTCGTCATCCACGGACTAAGCAAATTTTTAGAATTGATAATTTTTTTAATTTTCGGAATGGCTTTTTTGTGTTGCTTAGTAATTACGCGAATAAAAAAATCATAGCCATTATTTACATCATTGCAATCAGTCAATAGTTCCCAGTTTATTTCTTGTAGGAGGTCGTGAAATGAAAAAGTGACGATTGATTCATTATTTATGTTTCTTACATAAATAGTTTTTGTTTCTATTTTTTTCTCAGGGGTTGCCGAATTTGTGATCATAAAAACTGGAAAATGCTCAGTGATATCTGTTTTAATAATACCACTTTGCATTTTAGCCTTTGTGTAATTATTAGTAATGATATTATCGATAATGGATGCAGTTGTTTTAGTGACGCGTGTTGGCTTGTTAATTATGGGAAAAACGCTGTATTGCAAAAGTGTATTTATAAAACGCGCAACGTGGTTATCTGTTTTATTCTTTAGAAAATTCAAACTAAAATCACCCGTGATTTTTATGAGCTTTGGTAGCAAGTAATTTATGTGGTTTTCAAACTGATTGTAATTACCATTAGGCGGTCTACATAATGGTGTTATAAATGTATTTTTATTTGTTTTATTATTTCAATAATAAATGACTCACAATCAGCGTCATTTATTTTGAGGTTATCTACATGTTTAAAGGTCAATGAGTTTGGGACAAAAATAGATACGCCCCCGCCAATGCTGCTTTTTCTCGGTTGATGGATGGATTTATATCCTGATAATTGAAAGTTAGAATTAATTGTGTCTCGATGCTGTTTTCTCTCGGTTGATGGATGGATTTATATCTTGATAATTGAAAGTTAGAATTAATCGTGTCTCGATGACACCAAGTTTTTGTCAGACAGATAATACTGAACTTCTTTTTTATATTATTTAACATCAATTTTAAATTTTCAAAGTTTTTATTTATGCTTCTGATGTTTAAATGTAATAATGAAAAATTAGATGATGAAGAATTAAAAACATCTTTAACATCGTCAACATTGTTATAAGCCGTTTCTACTAAAATTTCGTCAAAAAAGTTATTGTTTTTATCATTGTCATTAATTCGGTTAAGTGTATTTTTCCTTCCTGGTATTTCGTGTATATGAATATACACGGTTACATGATAATGTAACCGTGTATATGAATATACACGGTTACATTGATATTATATTATATATTATTGATAGCTTACGCCATTTTAGCAATATTAACTAAGAATAATATTTAAAATTACAAAATATAAAAAATATAAAAATATAAATTTTGTGGTTTTTGGTTCCCAGACTCCAATTTCGCAATTTTTTGCAAAACTTTCTCAATTGACATATGTATAAACATACTTATGTTTGGAGTTTGCACAAGGCTCAAGTGTCATTTCCGAAGCATAAATAAGCATAAAATGCTATCTAAGTTATTTGTTTGAGTTTTGAAAATTTGTTAATAAATTATGTTTCAATTTGTTTATCAATCAAACTGACTAAATAAATTTGAATCATTTTTTATCTGTATTTATATATTTATCTGACATACATTAATTTTTTATCTGTAACACTTATGCATGGTTATTAAAATCGATTACTAAAATAGTACACGCCACATTAGCATGTTACATATTGAGACTGAGAAAGCGAAAGCTTACGGCTTTGAGGTTCGAAACAATTGGGAGTATCATTCAGGTACTTACGATTACAATGGCAGTGAAAATGACTCACTGTTCAAATCTTTATTTTTGGACTCGTTTAAAGAAGATCCAATCAATAACAAAGATGAAGTAACGCCAAATGCTCAGTATGTATCCGAAGTAATTTATAGTGCAGATTTTGACTCGAATAATCAAACTAATGAGATACCAACACAAATAATGCACATGACGTAAAAAGTCGTCAAGTAAAAGTAAAAGGTAAAAGTAAAAGTTCAAATTAAAAGGTCAGGAATATACTGATTAGTTACTTTTTAATTATTAGTAATTTTGTAATTTTGGATTATAATGATTAGTTACTTTTTGGAATATAATGATTAGTAACAAAACTTATCATTAAAAAATCAAATTTTAAGCCGCTTTTAGTCGAAATATTTGAAAAATGTGGATGTTTGAAGTGTGGATGTTTAATTTACATAATGTCTAAATGTTAATGCATTATCGCTTGAAAATTATTTCTCTACAAGCTTCAGTCTCCGTGCTGTTTTTATGTAAATGGTGATAAAACCTTATAAATGATTTCACTGACTTCCTACTTTATAACATCAGGAAATGCGGACCACTTAAAATGATTTTTGACTCTAAAAACTTTATATAGCTCATAACGTGACCATCAACAAAAGTAAACATTATTAAAAGTAACTTAATAAAAACGTTGGAATTTCAAAAGTTCGAAAGATTTTCAAACTAACTGAAAATGAAATACAATGTTTATAATCCCAGGATAGGAAAACTTTTTGGAAATAGCCATTATTTAATTTATTTAACACCCAATGTAATTTACAAGATAAAAAAGAAAAATAAAAAAGTTATTTCTCGTGATTTTTACTCAAAAATTTTTTCCTTCAGAATTTGTTTAAAAGTTCCTCTTTGCTCTTTCGCATTCCAGCACTCTATTGCATGTTTAAAAGTTTGTTCAACTTCGGAGGGAATTTTACTTTTAGAAAGTGCTATTTTTATCTTCTTTTTATTTTGAATTAAGTTTTGAAAGTTTAGCATCCGAAAGTGGCATAAGTCTTTGATATCGCCAACAAACGAATGTTTAAATAAGGGGTGTTTCAGTTGTGTTAAATGATGCTAATATTTTTCGTTCAACAGGATTGGTTAAATTTTTACAATCATTACAAATCGTTCAATTTAGTGCTATTGTTGTAGTTGGTTGACAGTAAACTTACGTGAATCAAATATTGGACAGAGTTCAATTTAGTGCAAAATCTGTTGTAGTTGTTTGACAGTAAAGTTACCTGAATCAAATATTGAACAGAGGAAATTAATTTTTTTTTAAAGTTAATTTTTTGTTCCTTAACATTACAACTTTGTATTTAATTAATAAAAATTAGTAAATATATCGATAATAACAAAACTTTACAAAGTGGTTTTAAAAAAACTATAAATTTACTCAAACACTGAAAAAAGCACGCGGAAAACTTGCAGAAGACCACATATAATTATCTCTAAAAAGCGCTCCACGATGCCATAAATATTAAACATATTTAAAAAATTTTTAAGCAAAATAATTACAATATAATGTCAAATGAGAATTATACAAATATATTTATCGCTTTTTTTTTTTTTTTTAAATGTTATGTTCATTTAAATGTATTTAACTTTCTACACCACTCCAATTTCGTCTATATGGCGATCAGAGTGTGGCAATTTCATTTTGTTCCCTCCTGATAATGCCTACACTTTTAATACAATTGAAAAGTCTCACACCAAGGACTGGTTTCCAAGGATCAATTTTAAAGAATATTTGTGTTACCCATCGAGTGGCACAAAATTCAACATTCGAAATTGTAAATATAATTTGAATTCCATAAGATTCTTTCATGTATGAAATGTATTTTTGTTCGAGAGAGTTATATTAACATTATATTAACATTTCCCTATGGAAAATATCATCTAATATAGTAAAACACATACCATGCATCGGTGAAACAGTTTCCATCATTTCGTTAACGTTGAAAAAATTTTTAAAAGTGCAGATCTAACGATTTAAGTGGTTTTAGCATTAGGCTGGTAATCCAAGGTTAGGACTTCCTACAGCACCTTAACAATATATAGTTTAGGGGCTGTCCATAAACAACGTCACGCTAAATTAAATTTTTGAATAGAAGTAGGAGATTATTTACACTCTTGCACTGATATTTCATTTTTCAGTTTTTTTACTTGGGGCATTAATTCCAAATGTCCACAAACCAGATGCTACATCAAAAACATCTTCCCACTAATAAAAACAAGAATTTACACAACAAATTTACGCTAAAGCCAAAAATAAATAAAAAATTTAAACAACTAAAAACCTTTTCCCTTGGTAGATTATCCTCTAACACAGAATCAAAAGAGATCACTTTATCATTGTCATTACAAAATGATTCTACTGTGTTTTCAACAAGATAAAAATATTCTCTAAAGACTTTAAGATGTGGACATAAGCAACCATTGTGTAGATTATTAATTTGACGAGTACTTCCTTCAGATATTTGACATAATGAATCATGACATTTTATTACTTTGCGAGATGATTTTGAAATTTCAAAAACTGTAACAAAAGAACATGAATCAGCAACTACCGAAAATCTTTCAACTCCCGATTTTGAAGTTAACTTAAAAACATTTGATTTTAGATAGATTAAACTATCCATAAGTTTTTTTTTGTTTAATAAACTATTTTCTGGGATGAAATCAGGATTATCAAGCATTTGCATTAGCTGGTTTAACAGACGACAATGACAACAATTATTTACATTGGTCAAATTTTCTGATTGAAAAAAAACACATGATGAGAATGTTTTACAGGAGCAGTTGTATATTGTAGTAGAACACATTGTTTCAGCTTTTACATGAACAAATTCTTTATCCTTATTTAGAAATAAATTTTTAAATTGTTATAACATTAAACATATTACTTATATATTACAATTACATATTACTACTATATTTATATACTGTTAATAAATCTATTTGCATAAAAAAACAAAATTTAAACCTACTTGAAAGTTCCCGTTCTCGTGATTGTAGTTGTTCATAACACATATACTAAGAGACGGTTTTCGAACACGCCAACAAAGAACGCCATGACTAAAAAGTTCAGCACAAAAGTATTCATAGAGACTGTTTCTTTTACTTAAATGCTGAACCAAGTTAACCTGAAACAAAAATTGTTATTTTCTGCAAATTATTTGGAATAAAATATTTGAAAAAATATAAAAAGTAAAGAAAAAAGTAGATTTAAAAAAAACTTTTAACGTATCTTTTTTTGATTCTATTTAATTGCTATTCAAATTACCTCATTAATAGAATCTGTGATGCCAATATTGTTTGTAACTACTTTTTTTCCACAATGCAAATCATTATATTGAAACTCCTACAACAAATCGATAAAGAAATTAACAAATAATAAAAATTATAATAAACCTTTTTTCTTAAATACTAACTTGGTCAAGAAAACTTTCTTTAGATATCCTACTCTTTTTTGCTTTTGACACTATTAGAGATAAGTTTTCTTTTCTAGATGGATATACAACTGTCTCTTTAACACCAAAAACATTTCTTAAAATGGATACAATAATGTTATCAGAGGTAACTCGATAAAAAGAGGCTTGAAGAATTCTGTTTCTGGGTGAACCAGGAAAATATCTGCATGAATTTGAAAACTTCTGTTCATATTTTACACCTTTAACAAGTTTATCCCACATCCATTTATGATGGTTAGGAAGATCTGACAGAATTCTGAATTGGTCTTTTATTGATGGGTTTTCTATTAAAGAAGTCCAAAGTTTTCCATACCTTGAAGCTCCCTGGGGGTTACTTCGGTGAAGCATAAGCGAAGTCTCCCATTCTTCTGCTTTTTCTGAAGGTTGGCAAATGAAATACCTAATAAAATTAGTAGATAGATAAATAAACCAATCAATTCAGAAAAGTTTGTATATAAAGAAAATCATTAATGTTAAATATAATTTCTTATGTAAAGTTTGAATTATAGATGTTATGAGTTTAAGTAAGTATTAAGCATAGATCTTAAGCCTTACTTAGTCTTGTTAGGAAATATACTATTAAATATTATATACTATAATTATGTATTGCTGCATATATTTAATGTAATTATATCAAATTAGAAAGAAAATACAGAAAATCCAGTATCATACTTTTTGTTTCCTTGATTAACACCCTCCCACAATTGGTCTTTAAGAAGACACGCAGCAATTAGATGGTAGCAAACGCAAAAATTGTTTTTATCAAGCTCAATTATTAGTTTTTTCAAACTCTCATTTAGGCCACCTTTGCACTCATATATCAAACGATTAAAAGTTCTGCTTTTGTGAATACGACTTTTGCTACCTATAAAAAAACCTAACAAAACATTGTCTTTTTAATTTTAAGTAAATACAAAAACTAGGTTTTTAGATAAATTATGTGTGTGTATATATATACACACACACACACGCACACACACACACACACACACACACACACACACACACACACACACACACACACACACACACACACACACACTATATATATATATATATATATACATATACATATATAATTATTGTGTATTAATTTTTTTTTAAGGCAAAAAGAAATTTGCATTCTGACAAAAAATCCGTAAGGGATCGTCCATAAATTATGTAACGCAAACTTTCACAATGAACAAAACAAAAAAGATCAAAAGTTTTCCCTCGCAGAGTCTTAATTTAAATAAAATCAAAATACCCCAATAAGTTAAATGAAAATTGTAAAAAAGCTTAATATCTACTACTTTTGTTATTTAAATATATTTTGCGTTGCATAATTTATGGACAATCCCTAATCAAATACCACTCTTAGTTCTGTGTCCAAAAGTTTCTTTTTTTAATGCAAGTTCCATATCAACATCCTTTATTGTAAATACACAATATGGAAGAATTTCATCAACCATTAAATCTTTTTTCAGCTTTCCATGTGCAATATTATCAAAGTATGCAGTAAAACTGCCAAACTCAAAATATCTAATGATCAAAAAAATTGAAAAAAGTATAAAACAATGTGAGATTGGAAAAGAAAATTGAAATTAGAACAAAGAACTAGAAAATTAAAAAAAGTAATAAGAGCCAGCAATAAACATTTTCTAAAAATTTTTTTTTGAAATGAATCTACAGAAAAAATGTTTTAAAGTGACCATTGTTTAGGAGAAAAAGAATGCCGTGTTTTTCAAGGGAAAGAAAATACTTGCTGAAAGTAAATTCAAAAAAATACCTAGCCAAATAAGTTTCTTTTCCTAAAGCATTAACTTTAATTAAAAGGCAGTAGAAAACTCCATCGACATTGCCATGACTACCAAGAGATAGTAAAGATTCTTCTACCTGAAGAATCGGAGGAACCATAATGATATTGTGTACCAAAGCATTTTCAACTGCAATGCTGCTACCACATTTACTTAAATTCTTCATTGCTATCATTGCTAAATAAAACCTTTAAATCCAGTTTTGTTTTATAATTAAGAATACATTTAGGGGACGTTAGCACAAAAAGTTGTTTTTACAACCACCCAAATATATATATATATATATATATATATATATATATATATATATATATATATATATATATATATATTAGGGTGTGACATCCACATTCATACCGTGACATACTTTTGAAAAACTTTTTTTATGTAATATTAGGGACCTGGTAAGCGTTCATGGATCTGGTTATCCCCCTAAATCCAATTAAATTTTAAACAAGTTTAACAAAGTTGCTTATCAGAACCAATAAAAAATTTAAGGAATATGAAAAGATATTTTTTAGAAAATAGGTGGCCCATATCACGCCCTAATATATCAACCCTTGGCATTAGGAAAAATGATGTTGCCAATTAACTACCAGGAACAGGTTAGGGATTGAACTTGGAACTTTTTGCTTATGAGGTGAGCGCTCTACCACTATACCACTACCGCATATATATATATATATATATATATATATATATATATGTATATATATATATATATATATATATATATATATATATATATATATATATATATATATATATATATATCACCTATTGTGTAAACTTTACTATATAATTTTCTGTTTTTCTGGTTTGTAAATAATAAAGTAAATACAAAGGTGGTAAAGTAGTCTGAAATCAAGGTGCCTGTTAAGAACAAGTTATTTCTTAACAGGCACCTTGGATGTATTGGATCAAGCGCAATATATCTATATATCTATATCTATATACCTATATCTATATATCTATATCTATATATCTATATATTTATATCTATATATCTATATCTATATCTATATCTATATATCTATATATCTATATCTATATATTTATATCTATATATCTATATCTATATCTATGTCTATATATCTATATATATATACATATATACATATATATATATATATATATATATATATATATATATATATATATATATATATATATATATATATATATATATATATATATATATATATATATATGTACAGAATGCATGATAATATGCAAAAGTTTTACCTTTTTTGTCTTCATCTTTTTCTACATTAAAATCCACACTATATTCTTCTTCCAATGGAATCTGAATATAATAATGATGCAATTTATTTATCAATTTATTGAAGTTTTATTTATCAAAATTATATATCATCTGTCTCAAAAACCAAGATAAAATTATGGAACAAATAAAATTGAACATTATATTTCTTCATATAACTGGCATAAATTAGAAAATTAACACATAAAATACACGAATTTTAAGGAGCTAACATTAAATGATAATAATTATATTATAATTAATAACAACTATATAATATCTTCTTGAATTATTATATGATATCAATAATAATGAATAATAATGAAATAACTAAATAATAAATGTATTACTAATAAATTTTATCAACATGATTAAAAAATAATACCACATGATCAATTATAGTCTGGCTTATTATACTACTATTATCTTGAACGGCAAATATATTAATTGGATTATTGAGATCCATTGTTAAGGATATGAATTGTTAGTAGAAAATAATTAAAGATCTTTTTAGTGTCAAACTAAAAAAAAAAGTAAAAAAATTAAATATAGAATCAGTATAAATTATTAAAACAATTTTAAAAATCATTTTTTAAAAACTAAATACATTATATTAGTTGATATTATTAAAATATCAAAAATTACAATTATAATTTCATAGGTATTATGAGAACTTGAGTTAATTTTGTGATATAATGTTAGGAAAACTTATAAAAATTGTTTATCTATGTAATTATGCCTGATTTTAACTATCCTAACAATATCAACTATTATCAATATATTTAAATATTTAAATATTTGTATATTTAAACTATTATCAATATATTTAAATATTTATAATAGCAATAAAGTTTATTGTAATAATGAACATACAAGTATTTAAATATATTAAAAATAGTTGACATTGTTAGGATACCAAAAATATACTTAAACTTTAAAGGTTTACAATATTATACATTACACCTGCACAACAACCAGTACGCCTTGCATGCAAGAGCCTCTACTTTTCTTTATTTTTTAAAACCAACCAGTACCTCTTCAAGAGGCACAGAGTAGTTTGGAAAAGTAATGCGGAAAGTACGATATCATTAATTTTCGAATATCAAATGTCTAAAAAAACAAACAATACTTTACTTGTAATGCTGATCAAAAGTATATCTTCTATACAATAGGCTATATACAATAGGTTTTACCATAATTAGATAAATAAATATTAGGTAAATTACATTACATTTAAGAATCTTTGTCGACAACTCGCATGATATCTCGCAAAACGAATTTCTTACGTAACTTCATTACCTTAAATGGATGATCTCATCTCGGAACATGAACACTCTCTCTTGTCTGTCATTTGTTAAACGCGACAACATTGCAAAATGTAAACTAAAAAGACACAACAAACGCCAAATGTGTTAAAAATAATTACCATCAAATACTAAATAGAATGAAATAGTTTTAGTAGTGAAATAAATATATTTAATGTTATGAGTGTTTGAGAAAATATTTATATATTTTTTTGCTAAAATTAAAAAAAGAAATGGAGCTAAATACGAGACTTGAAAAGTATATATTACATGAATACTATATTACATGAATGACATGAATGTTATTTTAACTTTTAATTATCGTATAATTAGATTCATATCATTTATAATATAAATGATATAATTATATTCGTACATCCCATTTTTCTTTTTTTAATTTATTATTTTAAAATAATAATTGAAAATCATAAATTTTGCTTAGCTAAAAAAAAAGCACAAATACATTAATAATATATATTTTTTATAAACATTTATATTTTACATTTATATTCATATTGTATTACAGTGTAATGTGATGTAAAAATTAATATGTGCTTGTTTTTTTAACTGTATCAAGTTTAGTATTTGATTGGCATAATTAATATATATATATATATATATATATATATATATATATATATATATATATATATATATATGTATATGTATGTATATATATATATATATATATATATATATATATATATATATATATATATATATAATATATATATATATATATATATATATATATATATATATGTATATATATATGTATATATATATATATATATGTATATATATATATATATATATATATATATATATATATATATATATATATATATATATATATATATATATATATATATATATATATATATATATATATATATTAGTTTTAGTTTTAGTTTTAGTTATTGTGTTAATTAGCTTTGGTTATTCTGTTTAATATTCAAAAAGTTGTTTATGAGTTATTTTTTCCATTATTTAATTTTATGTTTAGTAGATGACACTTAAAAATTAGTTTAAGAGTGCAGTATCACTAAAGGTTAAAGTGAAAAAATATAAGAATCACTAATGTTTGAAATATTTTGTTTGAAAGCATTAATTAGACATCTTTGTTTAATCACTCTTTAGAAGTAAAAATGTTTATTCCTATTATAAACAATCAATAAACTTTATTTAATTATTTTCCTTAGTTATTTTTCAAATTCTTTGATTAAATTTTGTATAAATATAAATATTGAACCAAATTATATAAATATAAAACAAATATCTAACCACATTATATAAATATAAAACAAATATAAATATAAAACAAATATCTAATCACATTATATAAATATAAAACAAATATATACCTAAATCTAATTTTTTTATTTTAAGTATAATTATTGTGAATAATATTCAATAAGTTGTAATATTCTAAAAGTTGTTTATCAATAACTGTTTCCATTGTTTAACTTTAGGTTTAGCTGATGACGCTCTTGTCAGACTTGGTCAAATAATAACTTGATTTTTACGATTTGACTACAGCTAATAATAGGGCTAAAAAGTTATCTAGACAACTTTTTCTAGAATAACAAAATAAATCTTAACAAAAGAGGAACTTAAATAAAACTAAAACACGCACAAAACAACTTTAACATAAAACACACAAAAAAATAAAACTCAAAGATTATTTAATTTTTAAATTATATTTAGAATAATAAACTTCATTTTTATCCATGTTTGTATTATAATAGGAGAAACCCTTTTAAATAAAGGAACAAATTAATTTAAATGATTGTTAACACGCATTAACAGCCAGTGAGGTGTTTCTTATTATCCCTATTATTTCATTTGCTTTTGATGAACATTTTACCATGTGTTTCTTACATTTCAGTGATCATTCTTCTCTGTTTGATGAACACTTTTGCGCTCTTGCAGTTTTGTGCTCACCCACGCGCTCACCAATACTATGGCTGGCGCTATTTCAACCACTCACAAAAAAATTTCTAAATAAAGTGGTACACATTTACTCTTGTTCAGTTTGATTAACCATTTTCCCGACCATTTATCAGAAGAAAACTAAAATGAGTATCTTAAATTGAGTTTTCTTCTGATGAGATATATGTATATATATATATATATATATATATATATATATATATATATATATATATATATATATATATATATATATATATATATATATATATATATATATATATATATATATATATGTATATATATATATATATATATATATATATATATATATATATTGTCTAATTTTATTATTTTAATATTAAATTCAATAAGTTATATATTGACATTAAAATAATTATGTATTTTAGCATTATTTGACATTGCCAAATTGTTTGAATATTTAAAATATCCTAAAATATATTAAAGTCATGGATGACAAAAAATACAAAGATATCTTGCTGAAAATTGCAGTTAATTTGTTGGATAGAGATGTTGAAGCAATTAAATTTTATTATTCAAAACAAATTGGTGATGCTGATCTTGAAAGGATTACAACTCCTATCAAATTAATTCAAATTTTAGAACAGCGTATGCTTTTAGGAATCGATAATTACAATTCTTTTGTAGAGGTGCTTACAAAAATTGGAAGAAATGACCTGGTTATTTATTTCTTTGGTAAGTATAACAGTAATATTGTATTTATGAATTACATGCTTTTATATACTATTATAATATATTAGGTTTATTCATCCTTTTCTAATATATATATATATATATATATATATATATATATATATATATATATATATATATATATATATATATATATATATATATATATATACATATACATATATATGTATATATATATATATACATATATATGTATATATATATATATATATATATATATATATATATATATATATATATATATATATATATATATATATATATATATATATATATATATATATATATATATATATATATATATATATTAGGGTGGTCCAAAATTATAAATTATTAAAATTCATTTCTCCACAAGGCTGCCTTTGTTCCTATTAATATTTGCAATATTGTAGCCAAATTTGAAGCAAATCGGATAATATTTAGGGGTTGCTATAAATTTTGACTTTTTGACCACAATGATAAAAAAATCAAAAAATTTAAGTTTTCACTATAAATATAATATCGAATTTAAAAATTAATGCCACTAACAATTTAAATCAGGTAAATACAATGCCTGTAGAGTATCTAATAAATATAGATCATCAATTGATCAATTTTTATTAAAGTATATCAACGTTTCGTAACTTTCGTAATTTTTAAACAAAAAACTGTAATATCAAGAATATTGTGAATATGTTGAAAAATGTATGTTTATTAATCAACGATTTTGTCATCTTTCGCCAACATGGCTGCCTTGGATGAAGTAGGGTATAGCTGGCGGTGACGTTGAACAAAACGAAGTAGGAACTGCTTTTGTTCTTCATCCTTTGTAATCGATTCGTTGTACTGTCCAATTAAAGCAATTCCACGTTCTGCGCTGTCATTAACAACTTTCATTCTTTGGACTCTCTCTGCCAACTTCTGATATGATTCATCGTCCTCCCAATATTTAGGATCTTTTGAAATGAAGTTTCTGGCCTCCTCTCTTCCTGTACTGCTCAACAACTCGAATAAACTATAGGTTCTCATAGTCACAAATGTCTCTAGTCTGTTGAAGTCGGTATTCTTGGAATCTACTCTCTTCAGTGCTAGAGTTGTCTTGGGCAGTTGGAGGTTATTAACCTCCAACTGCCCAAGATTTAGAGCAATTAATTAACATCATTTATAGTTGATGGAGCCCCTTTTTGCACTATAGGTAAAATGTGCTAGTAGACTAGTAGCAAAACATTTGGCTCACAACCAGAAGGTTGGGGTTCAAATTACCTTTGCTGAAATTACTGTCTCAATCTATTTCTCCACACAGCGCCTTTGTTTAAAAATTTTAGTTGTTAATGTTGTTTTTTAAAATATTTTTAAAAAATGAGTTGCTCCCTTGACTGAAATGGTCATTGGAGCAATAGGGAGGTGAATTTATGAAATTAAAAAAAAAAACTATTGTACTCATACAAATTATAGAAATTTGGTATTGCGGTCGATTTTTAAAAAAACCCAAAAAACCCATAAAACCCAATAAAACCCAAAAAAACCCATTTGGGTTGGGTTTTTTTAAAAAACCCTGGGTTTTTTCCAACCCTGGAGGTTAACCACCATGGCCCTCTTCACATCCAGATCAACGCGACTATCAAAAAATGCCAGACCTATAAGATGTTCCGAGAAGAACCAAAGGTGTAGTAAAAGCTGCATCGGCGATTGTGCGGTTTGGATACTTTTGGAACTGTTTCAGCATTTGAGCATCATTAAACGAAGCATTTGCAGCCAGTGGAGCTTTGTGCCAAAAACGTCCGTAAATTAATGCTACAAACAATGCAAGCTCTACTAGACCTTTCTTCTCTCGAACAGTCAGAGTGAGCTGATCTTGAAATAGTACCATTTTCAGAGCGTAGATGGCCTTTGACATCCATCGAGCATGATGCATCGCTCCTGGAGCTCGAAATTTTATCTCAGCACCAACAGAGCCTCCCCCTAGAAAGACCAGGCATAACCGAAGTAGTTCAAGATAATCTTCCCTAGGTTGTTTTTCGTCGATGGCTCTGGTGTAGAATGCTACCATTTCCTTTCGAAGGATTTCCATATCTCCGATGAAAAGCTCATCTTTAGCTGGAGAGAATCTCGCTTGCTAAATATATGGCTAATATAATATATTTACATGCTGCAGCTGGTAACATCTTCTCTCTGCATTGCAAGAAAATGCCTATCTTCAGCAATGGTTATTGTCTCCATTGCGGTTTTAGTTGCCAAGTCAAAAAGCTCGTAAAGTGTGTCTTTGAACATCTGTTCTTTAATTCTACTGCTTTCCAGGTCTGTAGTTCGATTCTTTTTTAGGAGCAGATAGGAATCGTATAATTTCTGAAGTTTTCTTTCACCAGAATCAATTCTTTGTGTTGGGATT